AAAAAAAAAGACTAATTATCAACTTCTATGTATTATACTTCAAGCCTAGGGTAATGAAAATCTTCCAAAGCCACTTATCGCCTCAATTCAGTTCCAAAAAGAATCGGCAGGCTGAGGCATTCAGACAGCAGTTGTTAGCTTTTTACTTCTAACCATCAGCCCCAGCACTCCACTCACTTGTCAGCTGCGTGGCAGATTGTGCCACAAGTGTCAGCCATGTCATCAACAAGGATGGCCACTCGATCCTTCACATCTCCCACTAGCACCATGCGGTCCACTTCATTGGCCTTCTTCCGTTCTTTGTGAATCAAGGCAAAGTCCACATTCAGCCGGTCAGCAATGGAGGTTACCCTGCAAAACAAAGGGTGTTCATGTGTATGTGTGGTTTCCAAGACACAAGAAACAGGGTCTTAGCCGGACTCGTGCCTGTAATCTCAATGACTTGGGAGGCTGAGGCAAGAGGATTGCTTGGGACCAGGAGTTCAAGACCAGACTGGGCAATATAGTGAGACCCCATCTCAACAACAAAAAAGAAAAACACAAAACCCCGGTGTGACAGCATGCATCTGCAGTCCCAGCTACTTGGGAGGCTGAAGCAGGAGGATCACTTGAGCTCAGGAGTTCAAGGCTGTCGTGAGCTATGATTGTGCCACTGTACTCTAGCCTGGGCAAGAGAGCAAGACCCTATCTTTAAAAAAAAAAAAATAGACTAAAGAATGGACATGTTTTCTGGGGGAGAATACTCCTTGAAACCAAATAGCTCCCAGGGCTGAAAGAAAACAACCATCATTGATTGACATCAAAGGCAGATACCACAAACTGTGTTTTATAGATGAATACCTACATATCCCAATAGCAATTTATGAATGTATTGGTCAAACTTAGATGAGCATTCATTCTTGGTAGGGGATACACCCTCACGAGTCCTGGGAAGCAGTATAATACTAAAACACATTTATTTTTTGCTGTGGTCCCCAACCTATGCATCATGGCCCGCCCCGGTCCATAGCCTGTCAGGAACCAGGCCGCGCATCACCGCCTGAGCTCTGCCTCCTCCCCCACCTTCCAGTCTGTGGAAAAATTGTTTTCCATGAAACTTAGGAACCGATAGCACAGCAAGAGGTGAGTAAAGCTTCATCTGTATTTACAGCCACTCCCCATCACTTGCATCACCCCTTGCTTGAGCTCTGCCCCCACCCCCACACCCATCCCTGCCCCCTGGAAAAACTGTCTTCCATGAAACTGGTCCTTGGTACCAAAACAGTTGGGGACTGCTGGTTTAATGGATTGGCAGTAGAACAGACGAGAGAAGACTTCATTAACTAATGCAGGGAGTGCGCAGACTGTCCCCATTTCTGCCATGGAAGACCTGTGACTGTGGATGTGGTGAGAAGTGACCCTGAAGCTGGCAGGAGAGCAGTGTCCAGCCTGTTCCAATGCCTGTGCTCTCACTGCTCCCCTCAGTGATGGTGGCAAAACACCCGCCAACAGTCAGTGCCAACCATACCTGGACACCAAGCTCGGGAGTTCCTTTTATGAAGGCTACAAAGAAAGTTATCAAGATGGGCATCTCACTATACAGCCCAAAGTATTTCTAAAATCAAAACAGAATTCTTATTGTTCTTATTACAAGATAATACAAACCAGACTAGAAGGTGGGGTAGAAGACAAATGTGTTTTTGGACAAAGTACCACATAACTCAAACAGAAATCCATTCAGTGTAGATGACAGTGAGCTGCCCCAGTGACATGTCTGTTCATGCTCTGCTACGACTTTCCTATCATGCGTGAAGAAGAGGCCTGTGCTTTGGGTTTTGTCTTGTTTTTTAATGTAGCATTGATCGAACTATAGTATTCTTTTTTTTTTTTTTTTGGGACTAGGGTCACATAACTGAGGTTTTTCTGTGAACCTGTGACCATATAATAAGGTTCGAACCACAACTCAGACAACATTTATACCTTGATCTAAATGAACTACACCCTGTGATCTCCATTACTACTGCTTAGGCACATATCAATGTAACTAATTTGTTTGGAATGATTACTTATCCAAGGCAAATGCATCATCAATCAGTTTAAGTGTCCCAAACTGTCCATATTCAATGGCGAACAAGCTCAGTGCCCAAAAAAGCATAAAGAGAGCTAGAAAAAAATCACTCCTTACACCCCTGAGTGGAGAACTACTGTGCAAATCAAAATCACACAGAGATCTCCACCTAATCCCCAAACCCTGCCAAGACAGAAGTGATTCTGCAATTATATAGGCAATATGAAAAAAAAGTGATAGCCACTTGCTTAAAAAATACTCCATCACTATAAGAGAATTATAGTGAAAAAATAATCAAGTAGCAATGTCATCTACTAAAGGCAGTTCTCCTGTACCCAACTTTGGAAAGAAAATCCTTCTTGATTATTTCAAACGTGACTATTTTCTAAGCCGCAAGGCAAGATATGAAAATAATGGCCAATAAGTTAAGACAAGTATGATGACTACCAGTAGGGGGATGTTTTTCAGGCTCTGTCTCCAATATTACAGATGGTAACTAGTGATTACATGGGGCTCACCAAGCCATACATCTGGCTGGATAAAACAATTCAAGCTCTCAGCTTATCAGTTCTGTGGAAGTTACTGAAATAAAGAGGTTGTTGAGAAACAGTCATTGAAGATTTGAATGGCTTTTGGAAAATTCTGAATTAGCTTTTCCTAATCATCTGTGTTTTGTAGCTCTTCATTCTATTTCCACAACAAGAAGAACATGTGTCATGTTTTTGAATGCATTACTAACGAGTAATCCACTAAGGAAATCAAGAACTCTTAGTCTGCACCATGTGAGCTGGAAAGCGCTGTAATTGGCAAGCCCTGGCAATCAAGTTTGTTTAAAATTTTATGGTCTTGGCTTTAAATAAAAATACCACATTTTATTTTCCTTCCTGCTTGATTTCAATACCCCCCCAAAATTAACAGCATTAAGAGGTATGTAAAAGCAAACTTGTCCAATAATACGTGGTTCATAGCAACTGCCATTCATTAGAAAACCAAATTTCCTATTCTTCGATAGGTTTATTGCAGTATTGCTAACTCTGTAGTGCCAAGTTATCCGTGTGTTACGGTCAAGTCCACAATACCTTGACTATTTAGGGCCCTTTTTCTTTCTTGTCTTCCAAGTAGTGACTCAGGCAAATAAAAAGAAGAGTAAGTAACACTATATTCAACCCATGTCCCAACTACTGGTATATCCATTGAGAAGTAGTATATTTAAAAAACACCACTTGGATAGGAAAACATCACTTTCTGATATAATTGTCTGAAAAGATTTTCCCAGTACATTGGTTACAATACTAATTTCAACCATACCTCTTAGCTCCGCCAGCATCAGGTGAGACAATAGTGCAGTTCCTCCACTCAGAGATGTTCTCCTTTATCCACTTCAGGACAGCTGGCTCTGCATACAAATTGTCGACTGGGATATCAAAAAAGCCCTATAGAAAGAAGCTAGATCAGTTTTGCTTCATTTTCCTTCTCTTCCATTTATAAATGGCTAACACAAAGAAAACAGTAACTTGCTCAGAGAATACCTTACTGCAACATTCAAACTGATGGGAAGGCATGCCCAGTGTGGTAGATTATAAAAACGGCCTCCTCGAATCTAGGCTGTGTCAGAGAGCCCAGCTCTCAGCCAACCCACAAGTGGCCATAGGAACATGAGTGAGTCCATGTGAAGAACGGCCAAGTTCAGCCAAGACCATAAGAACTGCCCGGCCAACATGCAGACTCATGAGTTAATAAATACTGCTTTATGCCAATAAATGTTGCATTGATTTGTTAAGGAGTAAAAAGCTAATTGATAAACTAGTTAGAGATGCTATGGTGTATAACTTAGTGGAAGCTATTTATAGTAAACAATCGTAAAGAATAGCTAGAAGTCAGGAGATCTGTATTCTAACTCCAGTTGATACAAATTAGCTGTGTTTCTCAAGTTGTTCCTTTCTATAAAATAAGTACAATCTCCTGTCCTATGTACTTCATTGAATTCCCATAAGCCTCGAATGATAATGATTTAAAAGCCTCTTTGAAAAGCATAAAAGTGGTGTTCCACTCCCCTCACTCTGGGTTTATGCTAGAAAGTAGGTTCCAATATCTGTGGCTCTAAATTGAAGACTGTGAAGATTCAAGGGAAATAATAATGACCATAACACTTTCCATTTATGAATACCTGTCATGGCTAGGCATTATATTATGAATTCAATACCTTATTATACTCACAATAATGAAAAAGTATATGACAGAGAAGTTAAGTAACCTGCCCAAGCTTACAAAGCTAGTAAGTGTCAAAACCAGTATTCAAACTAGGTCTGAAGCCAATGCCTATGCTCTTCCTCATAATACCAGACTGCCTCCGTATCTCACCACCTCACATGACCAAGATCACGAACTATGCTTAATGTGAATACATTTTAAAATGTTGATGTCTAGTTTATTTAAGCTGTACTTAAGCATAATTTTTGGCTTCCCTGCAGTCTTCAGCATCATCAGTACTCACCTCCCACCTTTCTAACCCCCAATATTTAGGTTCCATTGATACCTGTATTTGAGAAGCATGTAGGTCCATGGTGATAATATGATCTGCACCTGCTACAGACAGCATATTTGCAACAAGTTTGGCTGAAATTGGAGCCCGGCTCTAAATGGAGAGGAGGAAAGGGGGGGAAAAAAAAGAAAAATGAAAAAGCCAATTTGAAAAACAATTCATTTGATCAATAAACTATTTATTGTACACCTACTATGTTTAAGGCACCATGCTACCAGGAAATTCACAGAAAGAGACGTGGCCATTGACTTTAAGTAGATTAAAATCTAGAACAAACATCAAGTAGAACATCACTTTTCTAACTCAGGACACTATTTCAATAAAGAAAATATCTTCCTAGCTTTCATTTTCTTAATGTACATATTTTCATCCTCTTCAAGTGTTTTTAATGCACAATTATTCAAACTAGGTAGACTTAAAAATCTTTTTTTTTTTTTTTTTTAGACAGAGTCCCACTGTGTTGCCCGGGCTAGAGTGCCGTGGCGTCAGCCTAGCTCACAGCAACCTCAAACTCCTGGGCTCAAGCGATCCTCCTGCCTCAGCCTCCCGAGTAGCTGGGACTACAGGCATGCGCCACCATGCCCGGCTAATTTTTTCTATATATTTTTAGTTGTCCAATTAATTTCTTTCTAATTTTTAGTAGAGACGGGGTCTCGCTCTTGCTCAGGCTGGTTTCGAACTCCTGAGCTCAAACAATCCGCCCGCCTCGGCCTGCCAGAGAGCTAGGATTACAGGCGTGAGCCACCGCGCCCGGCCTAAAAATCTCTTTAAAAATAATTTTAATAAAAGTTTTAGCACATACATACTTAAACCTGTATAACATCTGATGTGTCAAAAGTTTAAAGATATACCAATAAAGAATGGGAATTATAGGGTTTTTTTGGAAAATTATTATCACTATCATACTCATCTGGAGGTCAACCTTCCAGTAACCTTAAATCCCTTTAAAAAAAAAAGATAAATATACCTACTACACTATAAAATAGAAAAGTCCATGCCCTTTAATTTATATTCTGTTGGAATAAAAATATCTGGCCTTCTCCCAGGCATTGTGCACGAAATTGGGCATTAATTACAATAGACTTGCAAAGTTTTATGTACATGCCTTATCTTCAACTATACCAGATATGGTGATATATATATATATATCTTAATATCTATATATATGAGAAAATCAAGTATTCATGTAACAGACTTCAAGTTTTATGAAGTTTTATGAAGAGGTCATAACTAGGACCCCAATCTTATGACACTTTGAGAGGATCTACCATAGTTTTAAAAAATATTCTACTCCATGGGAGTTGGTGCTTAGTCTTACTGATACAATTAAAAATACCAGTGAGCTAACTGAAAGTTACATATGTAGGACTGGAATAAATATAGACTACAAATGTTGCTTTATACAAACCAATTATTAATATATGTCTATTGTTTGGAAGATAGGGTAATACCTAAGAAAATGTGATTTAAAAAGTACCCCGTAAATATGTATCTGCTGGTTACAGAATTCTTTTGTGACTTTGGAAAAGTGCTTGTTTCCCCTGCTTTAAAAAAAAAAAAAAAAAGATTCTGCTCCTACCTTATCCTTCTTATCCTGCCGGGCATACGGGAAGCATGGGATGACTGCAGTAACCCGGCTGGCTGAAGCAATCTTGCAGGCATTAATCATGATCAAAAGCTCCATTAAATTGTCATTGATTTCACCACAACCACTCTGAACAATGTAGACATCCTCTCCACGCACACTTTCGCCAATTTCCACACTGCGATGGGGAAAGAAAAACAACATAAAATAGATTTTTAAGTACTATACAGTCAGCCCTCCACATCCTTGGGTTCCACATCCATGGATCCAAGCAACCGCAGATCACAACCTGTGAGATGAAATACAGGCTGCCTGCTGAAATTATGGTCCAATTATTCGTAAGTACTTTAGACTAACATTAGCCAATCTTTTTCATGTCGTGCCACATGGAGAAAATGGTAATATTTGTACACTGCACTGGAGTAAATTGAAGCAGTGAACTGCTTCTGGGTATAGGGGCTCCTTCGGGAGATTACCTAAAGTCCGAGGGATCATTACCCACATGTAGCTGTAACCCATTCACAGCATACTTGTAGGGAAGCTATGCTTCTTAGACTTACTATCTATAGAAGTATAGTAGTCATCTCTCGGTATCTGAGGGGGATTGGTTCCAGGACCCCACTTTGATACCAGTATGCACTGATGCTCAAGTCCCTTATGTAAAATGACATAGTATTCGCATATAAACTATGTGTATCCTCCTGTATACTTTAAATCATCTCTAGATTATTTATAATACCTAATACAGTATGAATGCTATGTAAACAGCTGTTATACTTTATGTTTAGAAAATAACGACAAGAAAAAAGTCTGTACATGTTCTATACGGGTGCAATTTTTTTCCAAATAATTTTGATCTGCAGTTGTGATGTGCATATAAATCTGATACATCACCTGTGACTGCTACGTATTCCAGACATAACAAAAGAAAGAGAAATATCATAAGGAATGAACTGCTACTGTCCTATAATGACACTTTATACAGAAGACAGTCCCACCTCTACCATATTGGCAATTCACTCAATAAATATTAAATGTTCATATGCTAGTCACTGTGCTAGGTGCCACGGAAACAATGATAAATAAGACAGATGTGGTCCTTGCCCTCATTGTGTGCTAACTGTACTCTGGTCTAATCATGAGTCTTATTTAATAAAATTCCATAGGAAAGTTACTCCAATTATGGAGTAGGGCTATTATTTTACCACAACATCAAAGTTTTAATACTCATACTCGGGGCCCTACCAAGAAAAAGTTATGATCTAAAAAAAAAAAAAAAAACCACCTCAGTGACACCTTAAACGGCACCGTTTTCCCAATCGATCCCCTAGGTGGGGGAGAGGTATGTGTGTGTTTCAGCAAGGAGTAGATTAGAATGGCTGACAACCCCTATCGAGCAAGAGAAAAATTTTCTATTCAAATCAAAAGGCGGCCGGGTGTGGTGGCTCACACCTGTAATCCTAGCACTCTGGGAGGCTGGGTGGATCGCTCAAGGTCAGGAGTTCGAGACCAGCCTAAGCAAGAGTGAGACCCTGTCTCTACTAAAAAAATAGAAATTATCTGGACAACTAAAAATATATATACAGAAAAAATTAGCCGGGCATGGTGGCGCATGCCTGTAATCCCAGCTACTCGGGAGGCTGAGGCAGGAGGATCGCTTGAGCCCAGGAGTTTGAGGTTGCTGTGAGCTAGGCTGACGCCACGGCACTCACTCTAGCCAGGGCAACAGAGCCAGACTCTGTCTCAAAAAAAAAAAATCAAAAGGCAACAGTTATTAAATAAAAGATCCAGACCTTTATCTCACTCTAAGTGCTATGTTCTGCAGGGTTTCAGGAACTATCCACTGTCCTATGCCTGTCAGGATCCCTTTTACCCCATTCCTCTCTCCCCAAACAAAACTTCAAGGAGCATTCTGAAAGGAACTATTATGAAAATAGGCAGAGGTAATTCGATTGCCAGAATAAGCTGACATAGCACATAATCACTTATTTATTCATTTCTAACCCAAGCAGCTATTGAAGGGATCCTACTTTTATTGTAAGAATGGGCTTTTAAGCACTGAAGGCTGTTTCATGGCTGCTTCCTTTCGCATCTTCCTGACAAATGGGTTTATTTTGCTTCTTAACCAGTCCTTTTGGCTAAGATGACTATGGAAGCCCTCCGACAGCTGTTGGGTCTTTTTGTCCTACTCATTGCACTTTTCATATAACATCAAAAACTGTAAGGCATTTTTTAAAAAAATAATGGTGTTAGTTTGTATTATAAAGCAAGAAAAATAAAAGCAGATAGAAAAAACCAGCTGAGCTTCCTAGCAGCCAGAACAAAAAGGAAAACACATTAGTTTAGGATATCTGAACATAAATCTTCAGGCACTGAATTCAAGAAGTATTTTATACTATGGATGCTTATGCTAGTCAGTAATCTAAGTTCCTACACCTCAAGAAACTAGGAAAAGAGCAAAATAAACCCCAAGCAAGCAGAAGGAAGAAAATAACCACAAGAGCTGAAATCACTAAAACTGAACAGGAAACAAAAGAACAAAGTCAATGAAACAAAAAGCTGGTTCTCGAAGGGAGGGAACTATCAATAAAATTGATAAACCTCTAGGAAGACTGACAAAAAACAGCTTCACTGGAGAATTCTGCCAAGCACTGAAAGAAGAATTAACACCAATTTTGTGCAATCTTTTCTACAAGACAGATGACGAGGGAACACTCTCCAGCTCATTTTATAAGGCCAGCATTACTCAGATAACAAAACCAGACAAAGGCAATGTAAAAAGGAAAACTACAGAGGGGGAGGAGGAGAAAGGGGGATGTGGTTACAACAGAAGGACCCTTACAGTGATAAAACCATTTTATGTCTTGACTGTATCAACGTCGATATGCTGGTTGACGCATTGCACCCTAGTTTTGCAAGAAAATTATAGTTTGGAAAACTATGATTGGGAACTTTGGGACAAGTGGATAATGGACTCACTGGATCTCTCTTTATTATTTTTACAAGTGCATGTCAATCTACAATTATCTCAAAATTCAATTTCAACAAAAAGTGCATTTTTATACTCTGTGTATACTTGAGTAAACCATTGCTGCAGCCCTCAATGAAACCTGAGGTCATAAAAGCTAACTAAAAACAACGGCACTTTTGCAGTCAATCAAAAAGAACTTAGTCTAATTGTATTGTTTTCTGAGAAAATATATAATACTATGAGGGAACTAGGAGAACAATTAATTTGAGAAATTGCTCATTTCAAAATATTTTCTCCCTATCTTATACACTGGCTGCACTCTCTTCCTGACATTCCTTGAATACACCTGTTTCTACTTCACGGCCTTTACGCTTCTCCCCACTACCTGGAATGCTCTTCTTACAGCTACCCTACTCACTTTTCAGGTCTCCAATCAAAATATCTTCCTTCCCTGACCATCTTATCAAAAGTGACCTCCCAGAGAATCTGTAAAATTAAAAGTGACTTAAAAATCATATCAACCAATTATACCGTATGGACCTTATTTGCATACTGCTTCAAACAAAAAAACCCACATTTATGAGCTGGGGAAACTGGAACACTGTCTAGTTATTTGACAGTAAGGGATTACTGTTCATTTTTTAGGCGTGATAATGGTATTGTGGTTACTGAAATATACATGGGTGATATAACACCTGTGTTTGCTTCAAAATAATTCAATTGAGGGACTTATGTGTGAAGGGGAAATAATGCATGAAACAAGAGTAGCCGTAGGGCCGGGTGAGGTGGCTCATGCCTGTAATCCTAGCACTCTGGGAGTGCAGAGGCAGAAGGATCGAGGCAGGAGGACTGCTTGAGCTCAGGAGTTGAAGATCAGCCTGAGCAAGAGTGAGATCCCATCTCTACCAAAAAAAAAAAAAAAAAAAAAAAGTGAAACAACAACAACAAAAAGAACCCCAGCCAGGCGTTGCAGTGTGGGCCTATAATCCCAGCTACCCAGGAGGCTGAGGCAGAAGGACAGTTTACCACCCAGGAGTTAGAGGTTGTTGCAGTGAGCTACAATGACACCACTGCACTCTACCCAGGGCGACAGAGTGAGGCCTCAACAAAAACAAAAACAACAAGGCAACTGAGCACCCCCCTCACAACTCCCCACCCCTTCAAAAGAAAAAAAAGAGTAGCCATATATTGATAACTGCTGAAATGTGTGATGAGTACTGGGAGTAGGGGACGATCATTATACCATTTTCTCTACTTCCATATATGTTTGAAATGTTCCATAATAAAAAGTTAAACAAAGTGATCCTCCCCAGGTATTTTCTCATCACCCTGGTTATTCCCTTCAGAACACTTACCACAATTTCTTATCACCTTATTACTTATGTTCTTGTTTACTGTCTGTCTCCTCCACTAGAATGCAAGCTCTATGAAGGCAAGGACCAGGTCTGTCCCACTTACTGGTATCCCCAGCTGGCCAGTGCCAAAACGATGAAAAATGAATGCATGAATGGATGTATGAATGAATGAACATCCTTCAGAATTAGCTGCCCCTTGTACCCATTCATTTTAGAAAGATTATAAATTGGCTTCAGGCCTGCTATTGGGAAAATTTAGAAGGCTGACTTTTATCATCCTTCACAAAATAATTCACTTTTGGCTCTATGATAGAGGCAAGTGTGAACATGTTTCTTTAAAAGGTTTTGACAAATCTACTCATACCCTTTTGCAGATGCTTGTATGATATTTAATTTGGGGTACAACTACAACCTGAAGGGCTCACCAGGGTGACAGTGACAAATAATTTTATGGCACGATCCTTAAATAGTGGTGCTGAGTAAGGTAATGAACAATATAGCAATTCTGTGAACCTCCACGTAGCTGAAGTGACAGCGTGATCTACCTCTTTTTTGTTCTAACTAATGAATATTTAACTTGAATTCAGCTTTTATATGAACTTTGCCTTACCTTCAGTTATGAAAAGTAAAAGGATTAGCATCTTTTATGCTGAGGATATTTTATTCATCACCGAGATCATAAGCCTTAAGAAACAATTGAATCTGTTTGAAATACCAACTATGCCAATGTCAAAATTGCTTTCTGAAGACATTCTTCAAAATTCAGATAGGCAGGAGGGAGCCAGGAAGGGCTTTCTAGAAGGACAACTTTCATGTTTTCCAAAATGTAGGCCCTAGAATGGTACAGTCCAA